AATCATTAATAGGAGATCACACTCCTTATATATCTGTCTAAATAAAAAGTCTTTCTCAATCAATAAAGCAAAAGGCGCTGAGGCATGCCTCAAAAGGTAGAACACCTGACTAACAAATAGAAGGCCCTGGGTTTAATCCCAAGTAATGTCAAAAGTACAAATGTAAAGTTTATCAATTAAAAATATCTCCCTTGAGACGTATTTTTAGCTTGTATTTTTTTTAAAAAATTTATTGTCAAGATGATATACAGAGGTGCTAGAGTTACTTGAGGTAATAAGTACATTTCTTGTCAAACTTGTTACACCTTCCCTCATTTTTCTCCTACTTTCCCCCCCCCCCACCTCCCACACCCAAGTTATAGTTTGTGTTTCTATGTGTACCCACAGATATTTACTTCTGGTATCTTTTCATCAATTTCATCATGTAAACTCCTTTTTCTTGAAAAAGAAAAGGCCTATCATTAGAATTTAAATTTATTCAAGTGAGTTCTATCACTAATAAGGTAAATATAAAACATCAAAGGTATCATTTTCCTCAAACCTCTTTTAAAATTTTTATTTCTGCCCAAAGTTATAGCTTTTATACTCAGACTATAAGGCTCTATGATACATTCAACTTCTAAAGAATTGAGCTCTACATAAAATGTTTTGTCAGCAGTACTGTTACAGTTATTCAAAGTAGTGCTAACAGTAATATTTATTTCATGATAAATATTTAGCCAGGTATAATATCTCCCACCTATTAATTCCTGTTACTCTGAAGTTGGAAATGTGAGGATGAGGATTCAAGGCCTGCTTTGGTGTAATGGTAGTGAGACCCACATCTCAACCAATATTATAAGTTCTATATGCCTGACATCCTACCTAGTCAGCAAAGTAGAGGGACCTTGAAATAGGCTGACCCTTGCAAAAATGCAAGACCAAATCTCAAGAATAACTAAAGCAAAATGGGGTTGAGGCATGGATCAATTGGTAGAGCACTTGAATATAAAATTCAAGGCCCTTAATACAGCTACTATTGTAATATCAGTGAATATATGTATTCATAAGAAAATAAATATGAAAAATTCCAAACAATTCAAGAATCTGGAAAATAAATACCATATATAAAACGATACAGATACCAGAAGAAAAAAAGGTACTAATGATAAAGATAAATGCAACACTGATGAATTAGGAAATTAAGAACCAACTATTAAAAGCCAGTTCATTGAAAAATGTATATGGACAACCATATATATTATTAATTACAAATGAAAGAGGTTGAAATTAATGATATTAGGCTAGACAAGTTTTATATCCATATATCTATATATTTACATATTACTAATAATTAATACTAATAAGGAAATGGTATAACTATCACTAACATGCCAATGAAAATTTCTCACAAAATAATTTCAGGTAATAAAGATGAAGAAAATTAAGAATAAGAGAACTAATATACTGTAAAAACCTAAGAAATTAATGGGTATAGGTGACAGCTGCCAACATCACAACAGAAGATGCAAAAGACATTATGTACCTTCTGAAGGAAGTACACAGTTGGACCTATGCAATTTTACCACCAATAAACAAACAGATAAATTTGAGGACAAAGATAATTCTTTGTAATTAAAATTATGAGGATTTTTGTACTAAGAGGTTTTTATTAGAAATATCATGCCTTTAAACATAAAATACAAAATAAATAGAACATCATTAGGAAAATTTAAATGAGAAATGATTCATAAAAACAATAACATTCCACTGATCTCAATATACCCCCCAAAAAGAAAAAGAAAAACCAATAATCTTCAAAAATACAATACTCACTTTCCTAGTCACCACTCAAAAAATTATTTTAGATGACTTTTTAAATGGTGTGCTCACAATACAGGATTAGTATCTATAGCAAGAAAGAACACTATGAATACCAAAATAAATGAGAGTTTTGAAAATCAAAAAGGAGAAAATTGTATTTGGTGGGAACAATAATGTCTACATCCGTATTATCAGTTAACTTTTAAAGATGGGATGTCACACAGTCAAGTAGTTTAGACTGTTTATTCTACTAATTGCATTATTCAGAACAAATAAGGATTGAGTATGTGTGAACAGAAAGAATAGCTCACCAAGATTCTCCTTACAGCTATTTCCTAGTACAAGCCTCAACTTTTTTCCTCAGCTTGCCTATAGCTACATCCCTATGCAGACTAAGAACTGTTGTTTCCACTACATTAAATAAGGACACTACTCAAGAGTTTGTAAGGGTCAGGTGACAGTAATCCTAACTACTCAGGAGGTTGAGATAAGAGGATCTTGGTTCAAAGCTAACCCAGGCAGGCAGAAAAGTTTGGAAGATTCCTCCTCCAATAGAGTTAGCAAAAAGCTAGGTGCTAGACTCCAGTGGTAGAGCACAAGAGACTCCAGTGGTAGAGCACAAGTCAAGCAAGGGAAAAGCCCTGAATTCAAATCTCCATACTTCTGGAGGAGAGAACGGCATGGAGGGATGAAGCATTTGGCTGGAAGCCTTTCATTAAGGAGACAGGAACCATGATGCGGACGGAGGTAAATGCTCAGAGCATGTAATTTAAAAAATGGGGTACAGTCACAGCCATACCTTAACGAGCTTTTATACATAATGAGATAGTTGCTATATAGATTTCTTGCTTTTTTTCCTTTGATGTATGAGGGTATGAGGTGGTAACTTTCTGCTTGCCATAAAGGGCACATCTGGAGGCATACCCTCAGCTGTAAGCATGACTTCCGAAGGAGGAGCTTCAAAATGTTAGGATGTCACTTTAAGGGGGCGTAGCAGAGGGCGGATCCTAAGAGTAAGGACCAATCAAATCTAGAATGTACCATTACTGGTCTAGCCAACAATCTCAATGTAGTAGGGGAGACCACAGATACTGCTCACTATGCATTGGCCCCTCCTAAGGGTGGTGGTGGCCAAATCCCCTTCCGGTTTAGGGGGTGGAGTTCAGGAAGGTTCTAGACTGCGGTTTCCAGTTAAGCAGAGAGCAGAGAGCAAGAAGAGAAAATTCCAATTTCTGTGAGAAGTAAAGGTGAGGAACTTAAGAGTGACTAATATAAATTCTACGTTAGAAAAGTGCCCCTTCCATTCCTTACAAAACCGTTATTTGTGTTCCCTGTTAGGAGAAGAAGCCATTGGGAGGAAATAGAAGCTTCTGTGCTTGCGCATTTCTGCCTCGAGGGTCTCAGGAAAGTGATAGGGCCCATTTCCAAACAGGAAATGTTGAAAGTAGCATAGCAATGGCGAGGAACCTTAGGTGAAGGGCATAAGTACGGATACTACTGTGTTTGCAGCTTGCGGTAGACCAAGACATAGAAGTCAATGAATGTGAGCCTGTTTTTCCTACATAATGGTACAGAAAGCCAAGGAAGGACTTTTGCCTGAAGCGAAGTAGTGGAGGAATGGGTGGAGTGGGAGCTCAAGTCAGAAAAAGGACTGCAGGCTAGCTCAAGTGGTGGATGTACCTAGAAAGAATATGATTCTGAGTTGAAATCATGGTACTAAGAAGGGGAGGGGGAGAGGGAACCCAGGTGCTGGTGGCTCACGCCTGTAATCCTAGCTACTCAGGAGACTGAGATCTGTGGATTGTGGTTCAATGCCGGACGAGAGAGAGTCTATGAAACTTATCTCCGATGGCACTCACATTGACCACAAAAGCTCAAGGACATCACCCAGGCCCTGTTGTTCAAGTTCCAGGATCAGCACAAATAAAATAATGAAGAAAAAAAAAACCCACACAAACGCGTATTCTATCATAGGGATTCAAAGGCAGAGAACACTAGAGGGGATCACTGGTTCCAGAAGAGTGAGATAGCACACAACCGGCCACTGTCTTCCATTATGGAAGGCCCCAAATAAGGCTATAAAGCTAACTTTTGCAAAAGGGGCTCTAGGAGAGGAGGCCCTCAACCATGGTGAGAGGTTCTCAAGTCAGCTTAGGTGAGTATCCCAGGTATGACCGACCACCAGGGATATAACTAAGGACCCCGTGGGAGGTATGAGAGAAATACCACCCTGTTGGAAGTGACTGATACTCATTTCCTTCCATAGTATTGGGGATGGGAAGGGGGAAGGGGGACATGTAGAAACTGTGGGGAGGAGTTTAATGTAAATGAGATGGCCTAAAGTACACACTAGGAAGATTTATAGGTTTTTCTCTGCACTAAGTATATAGCCACAAGAGGTTAGCACCCACTCATCCTGTCTTTTTAGCCTTGTGAGGTCATGGATTACAGAGGTGGTTATTATATACTGTGAGGAGATATCTGGAGATATCAGCAGAAAAATGTCTTAAAGAAGCATTCAGAGAACAATGAAAAATTTAAGAGGGCCATTCACCATTGGATAGATAATAAATAGGATGCCCATTGATGCATTCACCCCTGGAAGTCCCAGATTTCCTATTACTTCGTTATATCAAATCTAAGATACATGAGAACTGGTGTAAGGGTATAGTGACCAGTCAGTAGAAGGGAGCTAAAAGAATCAGGAAGTATCTGGAATTGAGGGGAGTTCCCTAAATGAGTTCTGCACAGTTACGTTGCCCATGACAGAGAGGGTTCCACATAACTCCAAAAAGTTCTTCATGACAGGGATGGCAGGCAGAGAAGCTCCTTAACTTTTTACCTAGGGTCTCAGTGGCATATTTGATTTTTGTTTAATGAGTCTACAGCAACAGAAAATTGTTGCTATAAAGTAGACCCCTATAACATTGGAGGATCCCTACATCTTGAAACAAGGTGGACTTGGTATCAGCTCCTGACAAAATCCCATCCAGCCCACACAGTCATGGATAGGTATAGCCTCAGAACCTTTCTGCCTTCCTTCACAGGGACAGGATGATTAGAACAGCAGCCTTGTGAGTTTCTAGAGTAGTACTCTCATGGAGAATTGAAGGTACTAAAACAATTTCACTATCGCTTGTCTAGGTGGCTGTAAGTAAAAGCTTTCCTGTCCACTCTACTTCCTACCAAGAATCATCATGCCTCGAGGTCAGAAAAGTAAGCTCCATGCCCGTAAAAAACGCAGCCAGGCCCGAAGTAATGCCCAAGGTGGTGAGAATGCTAAGGAAACAGCAGCAATGGTAAAAGAGTCTACTCCAACCTCTAAGACTATGTCCAGGGCTAAGTCACGTAGCACTCCAAAAGTGTCCCAGAAAAAAACATCAGCTTCTGTTGTACCAGCTCATACAGTATTGTCTACTACCTCTATTGATACTAGTGTTTCTGTGGCACAAATTACAGCTCCTAATGATGATACCATGTCTACAACACCATCTATTGGCTCTACTGATGTAGATCCAACTCTGTCTCCAGCTTCTACTACTGAGGCTGCTTTGGCAGCATCATCTACTGGCAATTCTGATCCAGATATTTCTGCTTCACAAGCTATTAGCACTTGTATGGGTGCTTTCAAAGGGCCGTCTGCTGTCTCTACTGATGAGGCTGTTTCTTCAGCACCATCTACCTTGCCCGATGATGATGTTTCTGTAGCACTGTCTACTGCTGCTATTGCTGTGGGTATGTCTAGCACCAGGCCATTTAAAGGTGCCAAATTCCAACGAAAGTTAAAGAAGGGTGCTATTCAGAAAGATGTCACCAATGAGTTTTCACACCTTGATCTTATGTCCAGAGAGGTTCGGTTTCTAGAGCAGTTCATACTCTACAGGTTTAATCTGAAGCGGCTTACTACCAAGGAAGACATGATCAGGATCACCAGCCAGAAGTATAAAAAGGACTTTGAGGAGATCTTCAGGAAAGCCTGTGAGCATCTCTCCGCCGTCTTTGCAGTTGAAGTAAGAGAAGTGAGTCCTGAAACATACAATCTTGTGACCAAACTGAAACTCCCCAACAATGGGAGAGTTCGTTCTGGCAGGGGCTACCCCAAGGCTGGTTTTGTGATGAATGTCCTGGCTATGATATTCTTGAAGGGCAACTGTGCCACTGAGGAAGAAATCTGGAAATTCCTGAAGTTGATGCGTGTATATCCTGGGAAGAAGCACTACATATTTGGAGAGCCCAAGAAGCTCATCACTCAAGATTTGGTGAGGCTGAAGTACCTGGAGTACCGGCAGGTGTCCAACAGTGATCCTCCACGCTATGAGTTCCTGTGGGGTCCTCAAGCCTTCGCTGAAACCAGCAAAATGGAAGTCCTGCAATTTTTGGCTAATGTCAATGAAACTTCACCTAGTTTCTTTGCCTCCCTTTATGAAGAAGCTTTGGAAGAGGAAAAGGAGCGAGCCCTGAAACTACAGGGAGTCAAACCTGGCGCCACTGGCATAGTTCATGTATTTCCTAAGGCTGCTCAGGGTGTTCATCCAGTTGAATCTAAATCTTTAAAGTTATCCAGGGGAAAAAGTAAAACATCAAAGTAGTCATGTCTTGAAAAATGTGAAAGTTAGAAATGTAATGTAACGAAAATGGTTTACATAATCCTTGTTTTCTTTTGTTGTTTTTACTTTGTTTGATAAAATTAAATGTTCAGTTTTTCTTAGCATTTTCAAAAACTGTTGAAATTAAATCTTTATAGTTTCAACTGTGTTTCTTTTCTTTTATTCATCCAACATACACTGAGAATATAGTTTTTGGAAGGGCTAAGGATATTCCCGTGATGTTAAGGTAGATACCCAGCCTCTGATGAATTTTTGAGTCAATGAGAAATAATTATAAAAGTAAAATGTTCAATTGCCTTCTGTGACTTAGAGCTAAAGTTTAAAAAGTGAGTGTGCATAAGGTTGTTTCTTATAATAATCAAGTAGAAATTTGCAGTGCAATGCCTTTCAAACTTTAAAACTGCAAGTCCCCACTTCCTTTGAATTTACATGTAATCTTGGTGGTGGACTACTCGAAGTTGTGGCAGTGAATAAATTCCATGCCCTTAGAAGGTGCCTCAGAGTCAAGAGATGAAATTCTGTAAGTCTTGCTTGGGGAACTATAACTAAATTCTTTTGATCAATGATGGGGTGCATAGCACAGAGATACACCTAAACTTAACCAATATTTAATTCTCAGCATTCTGGAGGCTGAGAAGTCCCAGATCAGGGATTACTAGATTATATTCCTGATTAAGTTAGCCTGCTGGCTGGCTTGCTTATTACTCTGGTAGAACATACAGCAGAGGTGGGCAGGAAAGGGGGGAAAGGGACAGGAGAAGAAGAAATAGTAAACAAATGGGACTGGAAGAAGAAAGAAAAATTTTAGTGTCTCTTCATTTGTTGTAGGGGACACAAATCAAAAAAACATAGGGGCCCATACTAATAAGACAACCTAAACCTGCAAAGCTTCACATCTCAATACAAGCACATGGGGGACTAAGGCTTCAGCATATGAATTCAGGGGATGAGGGGGACACATGAATTCTGTCCATAATGGAAAACTGTAAGCTACTTTGAACTAGGGAAAAACTGAAAAAGCTTAGGCAGAAAATGAAGTATCATGAACTACTTTCTATTGCAGGGTAACAGTTTACAAACCACTGTATAATGTACGTGCAAATTTTCTTTTTTTTTTTTCTTTTGTCGGTCGTGGGGCTGGAACTCTGGGCCTAAGCGCTGTCCCTCAGCTCTTCAGCTCAAGCCAAGCATTCTACCACTTGATCCACAGCACCACTTCCAGTTTTCTGGTGGTTAATTGGAGATAAGAATCTCATCAACTTTCCTGCCCGGCTGGCTTTGAATTGCGGTCCTCAGATCTCAGCCTCCTGAGTAGCTAGGATTACAGGTGTGAGACACCAATGCCCAGGAATAATGCAAATTTTCTATAAGGAGTTTCTGAGAAATATGCATAACCCTTAGAATGAGATGTGTGAAAGCCACTACACTGGCACATTTGGCCTTGAACTGGGAGAGTTATCCCTTGAATTAAAATGGAATTTAACATTAGGTTATCTTGACTGTCATTTGGCAAACTTTAAGTGAAAACTAGATATTGTCAAGGCTATAACGATGATAAATAGAAACACTGGGTAGAATGATATGTGGGAGAGTTGGGAGAGCTTATGAAGATATCAATTCTAGCAGCTTGAGTTTCAACCAGCGGGGAAAAATAACCCTAAACTTAGGGAGAAGCAAGCAGAGCTACCTCTGGGGTAGCACTGTTACTTGGGCTAGCATCCCTTTCCAAGTCCAGAAATCAGCTTTCAAGTTATACCATTATTTTTATGAGCAGGCTAAGGGAATCTGTGATTTAAGGTGCACATACTAGATATTTATCTAGGTCTTCCTCATGAAAAACTTCCTACCAGACGCCATGTTGTTGTGCACTTTTTTTTTTCTTTTCTGGTAGTTTCTGGGTTTGAACTCAGGGATTTGTTCTTGTTCTGCTGGCACTCCGTCACTTATAGAGCTGCTTCACCAAACTCCCATACACAGTGTTCACGGGTATGTAAATTAGTCTAGCACATAAAAATCTGTATGGTGGCTCCTCACAAAACAAAAAATACAACTTTCATAAGATCCACTCCTGGGTATATACCCAAAATAAGTCAGCTGAAAATAGAAAAGCATACCTAATACACATTCTTTTCATGGCACCATTCACAATAATTAATGGAATTAGGCTAAGTACTCAACAAGAGATGAGAGGATAATATACATACATGTATATATTAATCAAAGTTTTACTCAGCCACACAAAATATGAAATTATAAATATTTACTCTGCATTTATGTTTTTTTTTTGCCGGTTGTGGGGGCCTGAACTCTGGGCCTAGGTGCTGTCCCTTGGCTCTTCAGCTCAAGGCTAGTGCTCTACCACTTGAGCCATAGCACCACTTCCAGCTTTTTCTGCTTATGTGGTGCTGAGGAATCGAACCCAGGGCCTCAGGCATGCAAGGCAAGCGCTCTACCACTGAGCCACCTTCCCAGCCCCTGCATTTATGTTTTATCATCTATCTTTAACATAATTTCTTGAAAAGCAAAGTGTTTCTGTTTTGAAAGGAACAAGTTTTCTTTCATTTTTTTTTTACTTTTCTCCCTCACTACCCTCCTCTTTCTTCTGTAATATTGATTTTTAACCCTGAGCCTTGTGCTTTTTGAAAGGCACTACACCTCCCTTCCCTATTTCCTTCCATTTATTTTTTAGGTTAGGTTCTATACATTTTTCCAGAACTGATCTTGTGCTTCAATCTTTCTACCTCTGCCTCCCAATATCTTAGAGACATGCATCACCATACTGGCAGGTAATTATCTATCTACATACCTATCTATCTATCTATCTGCCTATCTACCTATCTTTCTTTCTTTCTTTATTGTGGTAGTACTGCACCTCATGACTGCTGGGTCGGTTCTCTTCTGCAGGAACTATGGCCCAGGCTTCAGATTTTTCTTTTCCTTTTTTTTGGGGGGGGGTCCGGTTGTGGGGCCTGAACTCTGGGCCTGGGCGCTGTCCCTCAGCTCTTCAGCTCAAGGCTAGCGCTCTACCACTTGAGTTACAGTGCCACTTCCGGCTTTTTTCTTTTTTGCTAATGTGGTGCTGAGGAATCGAACCCAGGGCCTCGAGCATGCAAGGCAAGCGCTCTACCACTGAGCCACCTTCCCGGCCCTTCTTTTCCTTTTTTATTCTTTCTTTTTATTTTTTTGTGCTGGTGCAGGGGCTTGAACTCTTGGTCTGGTTGCTGTCCCTGAGCTTCTCTGCTCAAAGCTAGCACTCTTCCACTTGAGCCAAAGCTCTACTTCTGGCTTTTTGTAGTTAATTAGAAATAAGTCTCATGGACTTTCCTGCTGACTTTAAACTGCAATCCTCAGAGTTTGGCCTCCTGAGTAGCCTGAGTCACTGTTGCCTGGCTCCTAGTTGCTTTTTGAGATAGAGTTTTTTTTTTACAAGGTTCAGCCTAAGCTTTGAAATTCTATTTATGGCTCCCATGTTGGCACTTTATTTAGAGCTCTAAAGTTAGGCCAAAAATGAAACTAATCTGTTCTCATATCGTAACCATTTTACAATACGTATGTATCTGTCAACTCACACTTATACACTGTTGGTTAGAATGTAATCTAGTTCATCTATATGAAAACAACTATATAGGTTTCTCAAATTACTAAACATGCAACTCGTATAAGATCTGTGCAAATATGGAAAAGAATTGAAAAAATAGTATACAGAGGGAAAAAAGATATATGAGGAATAAATATACTCAAAACTTTAGAGATGTATTAAAATACAATAATGAAACCTACTAAAACTTATTCCATTAGAAGGGATGTTGGGTGAGAAAGAACAATGAAACAGTGAATTTGACATACATACAAAAATAGCAAAATGACATCTTATTTTACATTTCATATTTGCTGATAAAACTTTAAATGAAAAAATAAAATCAGAGTCATATAATAGAGATATCTACATACATATCCAGCATCTAGCATAGCACATTCATGAGAATCAATTTATGCAATCAGTCTAGGGTCCCACTAACAGATGACTGAATAAACAGATTTTATTCAGCCATAAAATGATAAAATTATGCCTTCTGCAAGAAAATTGATGGAACTGGAGATCATCATATTAGATCAAATAAGTTAGAATCAGCAACACTGCATGTTTTTTCTCATATAGAATTAAGAAAAAAGTGAACTTGAAAGTAAAAGTAGGACAATTAGGTATATGAAAGGTTAAAGGGAAAGGATAATATAATAGGGTAAATATAATCAGGATATATTATACACACATATGCACATATATATAAATGTAAACTTGGCCAGTTACTGGTGACTCACATCTGTAATCCTAGTTCATTAGGAATCTGAGATCTGAGGATCACAGTTTGAAGCTATTCCAGGCAGGAAAGTTCATGAGATTCTTATCTCCAATTAGCTACAAAAATCAAGAAGTGGAGCTGTGGCTCAAGTGGAAGAGTTCTAGCCTTGAGCACAAATTCTCAGGGACAGAATCCAGGCCAGCACCAGAAAAAAATATAAACTTGAAACCTATTACTCTGTACAAATTTGTATATAGTAGAAATAATCTTAATGAAAATGTGCATGTTTACAAAAAAGTAATAAGTATAAAAATATTTCAGTAAGAAACTTCAGAGAACTGATATAAAAAGACTATAGCAAATCAGGAGCCTAGTCAGGGAAAAATCAGTAACTAACTGGCACAAGAATAAAAATCAAAGAGAAATGCATGAATTCTTTATAGAGATAACTATAAAATTGTATGTATACAATTGTAGAAATAAGTCTCAAATGTACTTGTAGGATGTTTATTCATCACAAAATACTATAAAGATATCAATCACCTTACATTCTTTAGTGCTTACTGCCTATGTAGGCCTGTGAAGATGACAACCAAAATGAGGTGATGATATATCATGATGGAAATCAACCACAGAAAAGTTAACAGAGTAAAGAAATACAAAAGTAGAAACACCCAGCAA